CTGGCAGAAAAATTTGAGATCTCCATCATTTCTTTAGGGAGTCTCGCGTTTCCTGGATTTCGAGGTTTGTCACCTTTCGATCTTGGAAATCGAAGTTTCCATTATAAAAATGATGGAATCACTACTTACATATATCGGCTGATAAAACGTCTTTATAATAATTATCATAAATATTGTTTCTGACAATTGTTATTGTATTTCCTTCACAAAATCGCATTATATTGTACAAGATATCGAAAATGAATTCACTGTCTCATTCACGATTTTTCTTGATCTACCATGATCTTTGTATAATTTATAATATATTTATCATATTTAAATACAAGCAATATATACAATCTGTATGACAATCGTATCATGTGAATAAAATTTAAAGCCACAAAAATAATGTAAAAATTTAATAGAAATTTCTTCTACTATACTTTGCCATTTTGGTCAGAACTTAAACAGTTAAAAGCTCGAACTAGACGCATTCGTATATGACGGAAATTGTTATAGTATCGTGCTTTATACTGTCGCATAATGTTTTCGCGGAGGGATAGGCGCGGCTAATTACAATTTCGCGCATCATTCCGCGATTAAATGCACAATAAGTTACGAGGTCACTGCGGACGAATCGGACTGCAGCGATATCCGAGGGTAGGAGACGGCCCGCGGGTCTTTTTTGGTCCTGGAAAACAAGGACACGGTGGATCGCTTAGTACAGAAAGCGCAGCTTCAGCAACGCGCCAGGCCACGGCTTGATCTGTTCCGCACATTTTTCTCCCGTTCTTGTTGCCCCGACGAACAATCCCCCAGATTCGTCAGGAAATGGGGTTATTTCCCCGATTTAGCTGGCCAAAAGCCGATGTTTTCCAACTTGTACGTAGAAATGATTGGTTACTTGGAGAAGGCACACAGTGGTGAGACTGTGAACCACACATTTTCTTTTTCTATTCTATCGCTTTTATGCAGAAATACGGTCATTTATTATTCGTGCCTTCTGTCCCTGTGCTCACGTCTTTTTCGCTATCTTTCGGGTTAGCTAAGTTTTTAGTGAGATCATTTTCTGATAAAATGAATATTGAAAAAGAAAGCATTATGGATTAGTTATTTTAATCTGTATCTGTCGAAGACTGAATTGTATGTGCATTGATTTCTATACGGCAAAAACGATTTAATGGAAGTGACCATCCTATTCGTTTTCAAGTTAAAATCCTATTAGAAAAAATAATAATTGATTTATTAAATAATTGTGAGCCGAAGCTGTGACTTATTAGCAAAGTGAGAAAACTAAAAGACAAAATTGTTGTCAACAGCTTTTAATGGTTGTTGATAGGTTTTCATAGTTTTTAATACTTTTTCATAGTTTCTAATACTTCCTAATAACTTTTAATACTTTCTAATACTTTTTAATAGCTTTCGTAACTTTTCATAGTCCTCAAGTGCTTTGTCATTGTTCTTAGTCACTGTTACTTGTATTTTGAGATATTCAATTGTTTATACTATTTTAAAGTATCACAAATAAATAATTAGGCCTGTTTCGAATACAGTAAACATGAAAAACAATTTTGGTCGACTGAATCGAGGAAATAGGGTACTATCACAAAGTCCGGACCTCGAGCTTGAACCGTAGTGCAGGCTCCGAGCCAAGAACTCGTATATGTTCGTGTGTGTTGCACTCTCTCAAGGACCGCTGCACCGAAAATATGCATTATGCTGCTAGACGCGATGCTTAACAACCGTGTTGCAGTATCTGGACGATGGCGTCGGATCGTCTCCATAAACCGTGGCTGTATGTAGGACTCGCCCAAGGTCGTTTCTTACAGCTTCCAGATCTCGGATGTCCTGAAAAATATTGTTCTTGATGCTTTATGGATACTGGATGACTTTAAAAATTGTGTTCTGGGTTTATTGTGGATTCTGAATGACTTAAAAATGTTGTTTTTGATCCGTTGTAGATCTGTCTCTTATACACATCTAGATGTGTATAAGAGACAGGTTCTGGGTTTATTGTGGATTCTGAATGACTTAAAAATGTTGTTTTTGATCCGTTGTAGATCTGTCTCTTATACACATCTAGATGTGTATAAGAGACAGGTTCTGGGTTTATTGTGGATTCTGAATGACTTAAAAATGTTGTTTTTGATCCGTTGTAGATCTGTCTCTTATACACATCTAGATGTGTATAAGAGACAGGTTCTGGGTTTATTGTGGATTCTGAATGACTTAAAAATGTTGTTTTTGATCCGTTGTAGATCTGTCTCTTATACACATCTAGATGTGTATAAGAGACAGGTTCTGGGTTTATTGTGGATTCTGAATGACTTAAAAATGTTGTTTTTGATCCGTTGTAGATCTGTCTCTTATACACATCTAGATGTGTATAAGAGACAGGTTCTGGGTTTATTGTGGATTCTGAATGACTTAAAAATGTTGTTTTTGATCCGTTGTAGATCTGTCTCTTATACACATCTAGATGTGTATAAGAGACAGGTTCTGGGTTTATTGTGGATTCTGAATGACTTAAAAATGTTGTTTTTGATCCGTTGTAGATCTGTCTCTTATACACATCTAGATGTGTATAAGAGACAGGTTCTGGGTTTATTGTGGATTCTGAATGACTTAAAAATGTTGTTTTTGATCCGTTGTAGATCTGTCTCTTATACACATCTAGATGTGTATAAGAGACAGGTTCTGGGTTTATTGTGGATTCTGAATGACTTAAAAATGTTGTTTTTGATCCGTTGTAGATCTGTCTCTTATACACATCTAGATGTGTATAAGAGACAGGTTCTGGGTTTATTGTGGATTCTGAATGACTTAAAAATGTTGTTTTTGATCCGTTGTAGATCTGTCTCTTATACACATCTAGATGTGTATAAGAGACAGGTTCTGGGTTTATTGTGGATTCTGAATGACTTAAAAATGTTGTTTTTGATCCGTTGTAGATCTGTCTCTTATACACATCTAGATGTGTATAAGAGACAGGTTCTGGGTTTATTGTGGATTCTGAATGACTTAAAAATGTTGTTTTTGATCCGTTGTAGATCTGTCTCTTATACACATCTAGATGTGTATAAGAGACAGGTTCTGGGTTTATTGTGGATTCTGAATGACTTAAAAATGTTGTTTTTGATCCGTTGTAGATCTGTCTCTTATACACATCTAGATGTGTATAAGAGACAGGTTCTGGGTTTATTGTGGATTCTGAATGACTTAAAAATGTTGTTTTTGATCCGTTGTAGATCTGTCTCTTATACACATCTAGATGTGTATAAGAGACAGGTTCTGGGTTTATTGTGGATTCTGAATGACTTAAAAATGTTGTTTTTGATCCGTTGTAGATCTGTCTCTTATACACATCTAGATGTGTATAAGAGACAGGTTCTGGGTTTATTGTGGATTCTGAATGACTTAAAAATGTTGTTTTTGATCCGTTGTAGATCTGTCTCTTATACACATCTAGATGTGTATAAGAGACAGGTTCTGGGTTTATTGTGGATTCTGAATGACTTAAAAATGTTGTTTTTGATCCGTTGTAGATCTGTCTCTTATACACATCTAGATGTGTATAAGAGACAGGTTCTGGGTTTATTGTGGATTCTGAATGACTTAAAAATGTTGTTTTTGATCCGTTGTAGATCTGTCTCTTATACACATCTAGATGTGTATAAGAGACAGGTTCTGGGTTTATTGTGGATTCTGAATGACTTAAAAATGTTGTTTTTGATCCGTTGTAGATCTGTCTCTTATACACATCTAGATGTGTATAAGAGACAGGTTCTGGGTTTATTGTGGATTCTGAATGACTTAAAAATGTTGTTTTTGATCCGTTGTAGATCTGTCTCTTATACACATCTAGATGTGTATAAGAGACAGAAATTTTGTTCTCGAATCATTGTAGAACCTGGATAAATTTAAAATTTTCGTTCTTGATTCATTGTGGATTTTGGATGACTTAAAAAATGTTGTTCTTGGTTCAATGGATTTTGGATGACTTAAAAATTTTGTTCTTGATTCATTGTAGATCCTGGATGGTTTTACATATTTTGTTCTTGATTAATTGCACGTAATAGGAAATTCTTTATTCAGCATCATATCCAAGTGATCAGATTGCTCGTCACCTTACTACTGTATTTTTCAAATATTTCAGACATTTATTTGAACGATTCACTGTTCAAAAAAACAACAAGATGCAGCCGCTTTTCCGATGTATTGCGTAATTAATTTCCTCAACCAATTGCCACTCTGAAATTAAAACGATGTCTCTTAAATCCTACTGCACCTTACAGCATACCTGTGGACTACAAAGTAAAGTTAAAATATCAGTTTCAAATTACAGCCTAATAATTAATTACCAACAGATTACCAACTATAATCACTAAACTGCAGATCCTTATTCATTCACGAGATAAGCGATTTTACAAAGTAACAGAAAAGCTGTATAGGAACAAAAATGAAATCATTCTTCTACTCCTAGTACAAGATATAGTAAATTCTCCTTAATCGTTAGAATGAGCACAAAAATGGATAAAATGGTGCGATTAATCGAGCCTCGCGGCTCGTCTCTACAGTATAAATACGAGCCGCAAGGCTCGAATAATCGTATCACCTCTTCCCGAGTTGTCCATTTTTGTTTCCAGGCTCGATTAGGGAGAATTTACTGTACATCCTAAACATCAGAATCAAGTTTTCCCTCGCAACTCTCACGAAACATGCCACGGAATCGCGATCACGATTGCTTCCAATACCACGACGGCTGACACCGTATCGACATTCAATCAGCATTGCGCCGGCATTACAACGGCGCTCGATTGCGACATATTAATAAATAATCGCGGGAATCCCTGACCGTAATAATCGATTGCAGAAGCGATCGCAAGACCATCAATTACCATTTGACTCCACCGGCTTCTCGAGCTTGTCCGGGTCGCCTGTCCTCTCCGATCCGCTGTCCTCTCGCCCGGATCCCTCGAGCTGAATGGCAATTGACCGGCAATCGATCTTCTGGTTCGCAGAGATGCAAGATGTTCCGGGTCGGCGAGCGTTGCTGCGAGTTCGAGTGCCTGAACGACACGGTCGCGGACTGGACCAGCTCGCCGCGCCTGATCATCGCAACCGGGTCCGCACAGGTACAGGAGCAGAATGCCGCCGTTTGGCTGGTGGGGCTATTCGCGTTGCTGAAGGCGCTCTAGTTCCTCCGGTTCCGGTACCTGGGACTCGGCCTCTGGGACATTACGGAACGGTACGGAGCAGCAGCACCGGGTGCGAGCGTGTACGAGAGGGTGCGGGCCGACACGGGAATCTACGGGGGATGAAACATGTCCGATCAGAGGGGAGTTTGTATCGCGGCTTGACGATACTCGAGGAGGAATGCGACGCAGCCACATCAGCTTCTTCTCGGGAGAGGATGCTCGATCTTTGTTCTAGATCGTAGACTCTAGATCTATCTTGTTACTGGCGCGACTGGCAGAATTTTTTCAGTTGTTTCGAACCAGCAGACTGCGGATTTTCATGCGACACGAAACGGTCTGCATCGTGAAACAGCGATCACGCGGAGCGTTCTTTCTTTCTCGAATAATTTGTGAATAAATCAAAAATCGTACGTTTTTAAATTCTTCGAATCTTTCTACCGGTTCAAAGGCGGATATAAAGTCCGCAGTCTAGTAATAAGAGTTCGAGCAGTCACGAGGGCTGTTATCGTTGCCATCGTGAGCACATTGTGGATCTTTGTCGCTGGAACTGTCGAATCCTAAGCGAGATACATCTTGGAATGTATAGGAACATTCTTGAAATTTGTCCGAGGTCCTTGCAGTTTCGCATTTGTTCCATAGTGATTTTCATCTAAAATGCATAAAATCGAACGGTGAGATTGAATTTACTCGCTAGATATTCGTACGATTTTCATTGCCACGTGCTTGGACAACGAGCTTCGTTGAAAGGTCTCTCATCGAACGTTTTCGAAACCTTAATAATCGCGAGGGAAGAGATCAGAGACGAGTTTGACAGTTCTAGCGTAGCGTAGAAATTAAAATAACGTTCGCGTTGATGAAAATTGTTAGCAGTTTGCTGTTGTTTCTCCGTTGAGAAATTACCGCGATCTTCTTAGTTCTGTAAAATGATTCATCGTTTGCACAAAGATCCACAGTCGTTTCTCACGCCTTTACTCGAATAAGATCGCCCTGTTTGTTTATATTATCGGCTCTATTTTCCGAGGTGTAATTCAATTATCCTTCCGCGAATTGCCAAAGGTTTAGTCCTGCATTAGGTGCGACGTAAGAATTCGACGCGATCGCACTTAAACTGTGAGAAGTATAGTTCAAGAGATACCCGAAGAAGCGCCTAATTCAGGGTACATTAACCGCAGCAGTTTCGATTTTTAGATAATCAGACGTCGACGTATTGTTACATCGCTGAAGAGATTAATCTTCGTTCATGGTGGCAGCTCGGGCACAGAGAGTCGAACTATGGCGTTCAATCTATTAAAACGAGCGATACGAACCTCTTCAGGATCGGTTTATTGACAAAAAAAGAAGAAAAAGAAAGAATTATATTTTCCTTTACAAAGAATCCTTTTATTATTCCTACGTGACCTCAACGCAATCGATGATACAGGGACTACTGAAGTGCGGGCAAAATATTTCGTTGAAAAAGATATTTTGTTTGCTGTTTCGTTCGTTTGCATTCGTTTCTCAATTATCTTTTTTTTCGCAAACCCGTTTGGTGATCCGGATATTTCGCGAGAGGAAAAATCGACGTCCAATAAAATTGATATTCCGATCCTGAGGAAACGACAGCTTAATCACAGAAGATCGGGAATTCTCGGGATATCGAGGTCACCAGATACGGTACACCCGTCCTGATTCGGTCAACCTCTTGCCTTACGAGTTCCTTGGCAACTCATCAGAACTACATCATTAATAACTTCGCACACAGACGAAGTCTATATTTGTTGCAAGAATAATACCTGATTTCAATTTATAGAAATGCCCGAAACGCTCTAAATAGACGACGGAAGTTTATATACGTCCGTCGAACTTTTCGATCGGTTCGTTAAATTAAACACCAGTCGAAATTGTAGCGAAATTAATTCTGTTCACGATAAAATCGTATTAATCGTGAAAATGGTATTACATCGTTAACTATTAATCGTATTGTTACTACGGTCGGTTCTTTAATTTACATTGTTAAATCTCACTTCGAAGTCTTCGCTGGAACACGTCGAGATCGAATTCACGGAATTCTATCGACCCGTTGATTGAATTAAAAATTACTCGAGCCACTATCGAAATGGACTCTCTGAAACCGCGCTAATTAAGTGTTCCACTTAAACTCCAATTACGGAACTTTCGCAGAATGAAAAAGCAGTGAAAATCTCGTCAGAATTCGTACTACGAAATCGCGAATTTAACCGGGGATCGAATTTCTCGCGACGTATAAAATTCCGTGGGCTACGATTCCTCCTTAAAAACTATCCTTGTCACTTGACACGATTCGCCGAGGCAAGGGGTTAATTAATTCCGGTGTCGATTCGCATAATTCGCCCTCGTTCCACATCTCGGCCGCTCTGTTCTATTACGAATGATGCGAAACGGATTAATCTACGGTCTAAAGAGAATTCTCGCTGGTTCGCGGACACAGTTCGCGATAGATCGCGGTGCCAGAGGATCCAGCGGCCTCGATCGCGGCGCCGGAGGGTCCGACGGCCTCGATCGTCGTTGTCGAGATGTTTCTGTCGTGGCGATGTCGCCTCTCCTCCCCGATGAAAGCTCCCGATAACAAGGTTAGCCTCGCAAACGAGGCTCTTCACAGCCGACAGCAGACAGCAGACAAGGCGACAGGGGACGGCGTGCACGCGCCGCCCTCGAGGACCAGCGATCAGCCCTTCGAGGGCGGCGGCTAGCAAGCGAGGTTACGTTTCAGAAAGTTTTATTTTTTCATGCGCGTGATAGCAATGATGTGATAACGAACGTCGGGCCGCGGGACCGCAGCTTCGGACCTGCCAATGGGGCTGGGCCGAGTGCTTCCAACGTGCAAGGATCGTCAGCGAAATTAATATTAGGATCACCGATCTTCGTTCGATCATTCAACGGATGACGATATTCCTTGATTAGATTCAGAAACCGTGTCGTAACACACTGGAGCACGCTAATTTTTACTCGGACATGTGGCATGCAGAAAAGTCGAGAAAGTAATCAACATATTTGTAATCGATTAATCTTAACTGACAAGATCCGATTATTTAAGAGTTAGTTCAAAATTCTGTGATTTTCTTTCGGTGTCGTGATTTATGACTAGACTGCGGACTTTATGGATTTGTAAGACAAATGAGAATAAGTGAAATATCAAACGATGAAAATATTCAAAGAACTTGCGAACATCTATGTGTTACTTTCAACTGTGTGCAATTATTAAAGAAAGAAAGAAAGAAATTTCTATATCTGACTCGTGTTCGTTGCAATCGATGGAGATCGTATTTATTTTGCATATAGATCCGCAGTCTAGTAACGATTTCTTTTTATTCAAGCTTCACTTTGCAATGCTTCTGATAGTAATCTCTTGATTGTCGCGAATGTTGGCGTACAGATTTCTCGGATGATCGTTGTCGGAAAAGTTCTACGCCCTTGGATAGAATAAATAGTAAGGGATACATAAGTAAGAACATTATTAAGGGATACATAGATAAGAAAACTATTAAGGGATATATAGGTAAGAAACGTAATTAGAAACAATGAAAGTATATGAACTATCGTCGAAGGACCGTGGCGAGCAACGTTCCAAAGTAGGTCTACAACTTTTTCGACAATCGAACGCTTAACGCGTTCACTGCTGTATATCGATCGTATGTCTTCTGGTCCGATCACTCTCATTTTCCGGCAGTCGATTCGTTGATACCTTAGCAGCTCGCATTCGAGGCAGTTAGGCTACGCGATAGCAGTCGCCCCGAAACGACTTCGACACGGCTCGTTAACGAGCTTCCAGTTTGCGGAGACTGTTTAGAACAGAATCAAATTGGAGGAGACAAATCCTGCGAATCCTTTGCACGTTGCGAGCGTACAGGATCTAGGAGATCCGATATATCGTTCGATCGCTATTCCGTCGCGAGACTAGCACGAGGTGGATGGATCTCGATCGAGATCATCGGGTGGAAAAGTGGAAAGGGCCGAGGCTCGTCGCGGCTGTCTGGTTCGGTGCTTCAACAGTCAGCCTCTTTTCCAAATTAGCTTTGAAATTCACGGCTGAGCGAGCCACCCTTGGCACGCCTTTTTTCGATGGTTTCGTTCGATGAACCAAGGTCCAATGGACTGCTCACTATTTTCTGCTATTATTCGAAGTTGGTGATGGGCAACGAAGCCGCTCGAGTCGGCTGGAGTGCTGACGGAAAGCCAAGTAGCTTCAATTTCGAGCAACACGAGTGTCAAATGACTCGAACATTGAGCAACCAGGGCATCGAACGGCTTTAATACCAAGCGATTCAAAGGGCAAACAATCGAAGGGTCGTGTGATTTGAATAGAAAGCAACTCAAACATTGAGCAACTTGGTTATCAAACAGTTCGAATACCAAGTACCACGCAAATTGAATATCGAGCAACTCGAGCATGAATCGATTCAAACATTCGACAATTTCAGTACCAAACAGTTTCTATAACAAACGATTCAAAGGTCGAACAATACAAGGATCAAGCGGTTGAAACGTTAAGCAAATCGTGTATTAATTAGTTAAAAAACCACGCGGTTCAAACCTTTAGCGATTCAAGCACTAAGCAGCTCGATTATTGCTCGAAGATTGAGCTCTCCAAGCCACGAGCGGCTTCTGCGCCAAACAGCCGATCACCGAACGGTTTCAATTCTAAACGACCGGACCATCCAACACAGCTAGGGCATCAACCAGCTGAAACGTTAATGACTAACTCGACAACCCATCGTTTCTTGGGATCCTGAAGCGGAATTCCGCGGCCCTCGCGAAGCAAACGAAATGCGTGAGAGTCTGTCGAGATAAATTGCGGCGACGCCTGGTGAGAGTGCGTCCGTCGTGTAAATGGACACTCTGTTAGGTCCGCGACGCCGGGAATTAGGTGACTCTTTTGTGACGCCGGGAATAAAAGGTAAACCCGGCGCGTCGCAGAGCGACGAGATAATCCTCGTCGAGCGGATGAAAAACGCTTTAATCTGCGACGTGTCCGCGGAACGTTGTCGACGGCGCGGTGGCGCTCGAACATTTTTTGTAAAGCTGGCACGCGACGCTGTCGATCGCACGACACCGTTCGCACGCATGTTTCTACACGTTACGTTTCGCCATTAACCCTTTCGCTACTACGGGCCACTATAGTGGCCCTCCATTAGATGTCACTGAGGTACAACGGGCCACTATAGTGGCCTTTCGTATGATGCCACTGAGGTACTACGGGCCACTATAGTGGCCTTTCATAAGATGCCACTGAGGTACTATGGACCACTATAGTGGCCTTTCGTATGATGCCACTGAGGTACTACGGGCCACTATAGTGGCCCTCCATAAGATGCCACTGAGGTACTACGGGCCACTATAGTGGCCTTTCATAAGATGCCACTGAGGTACTACGGGCCACTATAGTGGCCCTCCATAAGATGCCACTGAGGTACTACGGGCCACTATAGTGGCCCTCCATAAGATGCCACTGAGGTACTACGGGCCACTATAGTGGCCCTCCATAAGATGCCACTGAGGTACTACGGGCCACTATAGTGGCCCTCCATAAGATGCCACTGAGGTACTACGGGCCACTATAGTGGCCCTCCATAAGATGCCACTGAGGTACTACGGGCCACTATAGTGGCCCTCCATAAGATGCCACTGAGGTACTACGGGCCACTATAGTGGCCCTCCATAAGATGCCACTGAGGTACTACGGGCCACTATAGTGGCCCTCCATAAGATGCCACTGAGGTACTACGGGCCACTATAGTGGCCCTCCATAAGATGCCACTGAGGTACTACGGGCCACTATAGTGGCCCTCCATAAGATGCCACTGAGGTACTACGGGCCACTATAGTGGCCCTCCATAAGATGCCACTGAGGTACTACGGGCCACTATAGTGGCCCTCCATAAGATGCCACTGAGGTACTACGGGCCACTATAGTGGCCCTCCATAAGATGCCACTGAGGTACTACGGGCCACTATAGTGGCCCTCCATAAGATGCCACTGAGGTACTACGGGCCACTATAGTGGCCCTCCATAAGATGCCACTGAGGTACTACGGGCCACTATAGTGGCCCTCCATAAGATGCCACTGAGGTACTACGGGCCACTATAGTGGCCCTCCATAAGATGCCACTGAGGTACTACGGGCCACTATAGTGGCCCTCCATAAGATGCCACTGAGGTACTACGGGCCACTATAGTGGCCCTCCATAAGATGCCACTGAGGTACTACGGGCCACTATAGTGGCCCTCCATAAGATGCCACTGAGGTACTACGGGCCACTATAGTGGCCCTCCATAAGATGCCACTGAGGTACTACGGGCCACTATAGTGGCCTTTCGTATGATGCCACTGAGGTACTACGGGCCACTATAGTGGCCTT